AAAAAAAAAAAAAAAAAAAAAAAAAAAAGAATATCATGCTGTCAAATAATAGTAAATTCAGCTGGGAATGCTGGCCTGTAATCTCAGTAGTCTGCAGGCTGAGGCAGAAGGATTGCTATGAGTTCGAGGCCAGCCTGAGCTACACAGTGAATTTAAACGTCAGCTGGAATTGCATAGCAAAACTCTGTCTCAAAATACAAAACAAAACAAAAACAGTAAATTCAGTCCTATATAAAAAGAAAAAAGATACCATGAAACCAGACAGTAACAAATACTGGTGAGGCTGCACGGAAATGAGGACTTTGCGCTAAACTGCTGGTGGGAAAGAGGCATGGTTCGGCCACCGTGAAAAACACTTTGGTGGCTGCTCAACAAGTGAAGCATAGAGTGACTGTGTGATCCAGCAGATCCACGTCTGAATTTCTACCCCAAAGAATTCAAAATGGGCGCTCAAATACGTGTCCGCGTCCTTCTCGGCCGCCAGAGGTGCACATCACCCGGATGTCCACGAGCGCAGCTAGACGGCCGAAACCAAGGACAGCGGAACCTCGGATTGCGAGTAACTTGTTCTGCGATTATCCTGCGAGACGAGCAATCATTGCTCAGAAACTTTAACTTGATAAACGAGTGATGTCACCCCCAATGCCACACGATCACAACGGCGCCATGGCTCCCCTCATCCTGGGTGATCGTCGCCCAGCAGCGAGAGGTTATGGGGGAGCCCCCGGGGCGGGGGAGCAGGAGAAAGAGGCGAAGGAATCCCTCGCTTGTGTGAGATGGGGGAGCTGGCTAAACTGGGGGACACAGTTCAAAATTCTGCGGAAAAGCACTACCCGAGTCGGGCTGCAGCGGTGCGAGGGGTGAATCCGTGAGACGACAATGCGGCGTCACCTATCCACGAAATCCTTAAACGGAGGAAAGAAGCGGGTGTCATTGGACGGGCTCCGCGTCACAGCTGCACGAGAAGGGGAAGATCCCGCGGAGCCGGTCGTCAGTGACGGCGAAAGTTGTCCCACAGGATCGCTCTCCTCTCTCGTCAGCCACGGAGGGTTTCTTTTTCTTTCTTTTCACTGAGCTACAGATCTGTTCAGTATGTGGAAGTAAGCACGCAGATTGCACAGAAAGCTCCTCCAGCGCCGCCAGATTCAGGAGGACCCTGAGTCCTACAGGAGCCTGCTGGAGGGAGCGGGAGGGAAGGGCCCCTCCTGGCTGGCAAATCCCATGTGGCTGCCGGACAGTGGGAGGTAGAGGCCCTGGACTGGCACTGGTTTGCCGTGTGGTCAGGGAGGGAAGGTCTCAGGAGCAGCCCGAGATGCGCCAGGGAGCAGGCGGAGAGCAGGCGGAGACCCTCGCATCGGGAGGTGCAGCCTACCCACGCCAGGGGGTCCCGCGGGGCTCCGCCAGTGATGGGGACCCAGGAGATGCTGGTCTCCCCAGAGGCCCCCAGCAGGAGCTGCACCCCTGGCAGTATGAGAGCAGCTCACCTCCGGGGGGCTTCGGATTCTTGGGGGTCGTCTCGCCTGGGGGTAGCTGGCACTGAAGCCTGACTGAGACCCTGGGAGTCACCGGGGGACCCCCTGGCGTGGATAGGCTCCTGAGGTCCGTGGGGGGGGCACTGGTGACCGGGTGACCAGCGCTGGGGACGCTGAGGCAGGTGAGGGGTGGGAGCGCTCCCGCCTCAGAGGGCGCGGGGCATCGGAGCGGGGCAGAGGGAGCCAGCGGCCCGGGCTGTGGGTGGGGGGACCCCTGGATGATGTGGGGCCTCCTGGGGTGGGAGAGTCGCTGGCCCTGGGGGTGGCAGGCGGCGTCCAGGAGAGGCTGTGGAGCTTCGAAGCATCCCTCTGCCAGAGGGGCCTCCCAGCTGGCGCCCCAGGCCGGCAGCCACGGAGCCACTCATCACAGCGAGGGGAGGGTGGCCGGTCAGCCTGCAGCGGTTCTTCCCTGGCGTGAGGATCGGCCTGCGGCCTCGGAGGGGCGGTCTCGCAGCTCCCCTGGCCTGGCCAGCTCTGGGACGCCCTGGCACCCATGCCTCTGGTTCTGTTAGTCTTCTGCGCCCAGGGGGGTCAAATTCTGGTAAGGTGGGCCCAGTGCTGGGGCTGCAAGCAGTCTCATCTACATAGGATGCCCTGGCCGTGACCCGACGGCCGCCGGAGCGGTGCTGTGACTGAGGACCTGCCCCCCGCCACTGCCGCCCGCCGGGACCTTCCTGCTGGGTGACCGCAGAGGCGCTCTGCCCGCCAGGCCGTCTCGGGGCTCCCTGAGTGCATTGATTGGCAGGCGGTGGGTATGAACATCGCATCCTCTCCCCGGCCTCCTTCTCCCCAAGTCTGGACCCTTCCGTGGGGGTGCATGGGCACCCTCGGAGCACACCTCATCCAACGTCCTAATCTGCAGCCTGGAAAGCCCAGGGCCCTGGGACCCCGCGCAGAGGGACTCAGCCCGAGAAGTGGGCTCTAACTACACGTGCTAGGCGCGTGCCATGGAGGTTTTCTAAGGTAGGTGCAGATTAATTTATTTTTCCTTATATTTTGTATTATATTACAGCCTCCCAAGTGCTGGGATTACGGGTGTGTATCACCATACCCGGCTATTTTTATACGAATATTTTTGGGTTGTGGAATAAATCATCTTAGTTTCCATTACTTCTTATGGGGAAATTCGCTTTGTGATACACGTACTTTGGATTATAAGCATGCTTCCAGATTTGCGCTCTCAAACCAAGGCTCTACCAAGTGGGATATTATTCAGCTGTGAACAGGAATGACATGCTGACACATACTACAGTGCAGGCGAACCTTACAGATATTATGAAAGCAAGCAGACACAGAAAGTCACTTATAGGGCCAAGGATATAGCTCAGTGGCACAAGCACCTGCCTGACAAGCGTAAGGCCCTGAGTTCGATTCCTGGTACCAAAAAAAAAGAAAAGAAAAAAGAAAAGAAGCCAGGCTTTGTGGCTCACATCTGTAATCCCAGCACTCTGGAGGTTGAGGCAGGAGGATCGCTGTGAGTTTGAGGCCAGCCTGGGTTACAAAGTGAGTTTAAGGCCAGCCTGAACTGCATAGTGAAACACTGTCTCAAAAAGACAAAAACAAACAAAAAAAGAGAGTCACTTATTACATGATTCTGGGTAGGTGAAGTACGTAGACTGGGTTTAGGTATAGAATGTAAACACTAACTTTCACCTGATGCCATCTCTCTAGTTACCCGGGCACAAAGCACTGGGCCTGGAGCCGAAGAACTGATGCCTCCCTACATTTGCCACTGAGCGAGCCAGCCAGCTTTCCTGTGCCCGGAATTCTTCCTGTTTCCCGGAGGGCAGCCCAGCCCGGCTCCCTGGGGACCGCGGGGACCCGGTGAAGGGATGGCCGTGCACACGTTCGCCTGCTCCTTCCCACTGTCATACTGTGGCATACTGCAGGCAGGGGTGACATCTGTCCCTGCATCTCCGCGGCAACACAGTGCAGGCCAGCTCTGCCCACGGGGTAAGAGAGAAGCCAGGAAACCAGGCCTTCGCCACCCACTAGGCAGGACGCTGCTGAGCCTCAAGACTGCCCACCCGCTCGTCACCTCCTGGAGTGACAGGCGCAGCTGTGACAGCGGGCTCCCGCCGGGCCCCCGGCCCTGCCCTGCGTGGGGCTTGGGCGGCGCGGGCCAGGCCTGGTCTGTTGCTTGGTGACAAGCCAGCTGATAAGAAGCTGCCGAGCTGTGGCAGGGAACACGTTTTAATGCCAGAGAGGTGGAGGGATCACAGGGTGGTGTAAAAGGGTAAAATTATTTCAGATAAACCCTGAAGGAATTTTATTACCCAGCGAAGTGATAAATCAAGTTCTCTGTAAATGCAATAAAACAATTGTTTAGTCTGCGTGATTCATACCACAAACCTTAGGATTCTGGGTTTTGATCTTATTGCCGCAATAAACTGTCTAGACAGCAATTAACAAACTGTTTTTCCTTCAGATGTTTGAGAGCCAGTGCAGCGGGAAGCGGCACTTACGAGGACAGGCCTTCTTCCTGGCTCCTATTAATTATCGGGTTGGGACGGTGGGAAAAGCCTGGAATCGCATCCGAATTAGCCTCCTGGAAATGTCACCTCTGCTGAATGTAATCTTTACCAGGTAATACTGGCTTACAGTTGGCAGGAAATCTAAATATTCAGATTTTTCTTAAGGCTTGGCTTGTTATTCTAAAGTTTCACTTTAGAGAGAGGTGACCCGACTTAATTCACACTTTCTTTTTCTTTTTCTTTTCTTTGCTGTCTCTTCCTTTTTCTATTTTGTTTTTTTGAGACATGGTCTTGCTATGTTCAGGCTGGCCTTGAACTCCCTATGTAGCCCAAGCTGGCCTGCAACTCACAGTGATTCTCCTGCCTCAGCCTCCCAAGTGCTGGGACTATAGGCATGCGCCACCAGGCCAGACTTTTTTTTTTTTTTGGTAGTAGGTGTAGTAGTAGGACCTTTGCAGTGAGCTATCTTACCAGCCCTTGTTTGTTTATTTATTTTTTATTTTGAGATAGGGTCTCACTAGGCTGCAGCTCTGCCTTCCCGCCAGCTGCTGTTGTCCAAACTGATGCTGGCCGAACACCTGGGTTCTAAAGTCTCTTCAGTTTAAAGTCCCAGGAGCATGGGGCTTTTGTTGGCTGGTTACCCCATAGCACGCAGTTGGCTTTCAAAACCTAACGAAGGAATAAATATCCCCTGTGCGTGGAGACGGGATGGAGGAGCAGGTATTCACGGGAAGAGAGGAATGACGTGGACGATCTGAGTATCGGTCAGTAGAGACCTGAACAGTCAGGCCGTGGGATAAACCCCCTGCAGCAGATGCGCAGCGCCCAGGGAGGGGCAGAGGAGCTGCAGGATCTCACCGGCTGCTCCACGCACACCATTGAGCATGCTCTGAATTCTCTACGGTGCAGATTTGTGCAGGGCTGAGCTATGAAGAGGTCCGGGGAACCTAAGTTCCAAATTGGTGGCTGCGGCTGCTTTTGGGGGAAACAAGTTACAGAAAGCAGGTTATCAAAGGGGTGTGGCCTTATTTGTAGTGTTTTAGGGTTTTTACAAAGGTAATACATTCATGTGAAATTAAAGAAAGAGAATACCTCGATTAAAAAGATAAATTATACCCTGAACAACCTACAGGATATAGCACAGCACTGAAAAAAAATAATGAGGCAGCCAGGTGTGGTGGTGCATGCCTGTAATCCTAGCACTTGGGAGGCTGAGGCAGGAGGGTGGGTCATCATGAGCTCAAAGCCAGCCTGGGCTACATAGTGAGACCCTCTCTCAAAAAACAAATAACAACAACAAAAAGGTGGAGATTCAAATCTGTCTCTGCAGAAATCCCCCAAGTCCCATCATCAAGCAAAACAGCAAAGGGGAGAGATGCTTCCTACAGATAGGAGTCTGTGTATGAGATGGGGGCCGGGGATTTGGCTCAGTGGCACAGCACCTGCCTGGCAGGCCTGAGGTCCTGAGTTCGAGTTCTGGAAATGCACCCCCCACCCCCGCCTCAAGAAAAGAGTCTGTGTATTGAGAAAAGCCCAGAAAGAAGCAGAGTGGTGCTTTCTGGGGATGTTAATGGCCTCTCTGCCACTAAAGGTAAATTCTGATTTATTTTAACTCCCTTATTTTGAATAACTCTAATCTAAAAATAATCTGAAATGCCTATATGTTTTAAATTGTTTAATGAATTAAAAAAATATAAACCTATTTCGGGCTGGGGATATAGCTCAGTGGCACAGCACCTGCCTAGCAAGTGTGAGGCCATGAGTTCGATTCCTGTAGCCAAAACAAACAAACAAAAAATAAACCCATCCTACATCACATTGAAGTCACCAGTGACCAGGTACTGCAGTACTGCTTCCTAACAACATCATAAAGTGCAAATTATTTCCAGGGGAGGAGACTGAGGCTTGGGGAGGTGGAATCAGCCGTCAAGGGCCACAGGGAGCCGGAACTGGAGACCCAGGCTGACGGACTGCAGAGCCCGAAGGCTTGATCACGCCACCTTGGCTGCCTCCTGGCTCGAGGACGATTTCCCCTGCCAGAACAGTCTCTGGAAAGGGCAGCAGCAGTCATGGAGCCAAATCCCTCCCGGCCAACGGGTGTGGGAGATGCGGTCACTGAGGGACCCTGGGGGCAGAATCCAGCTTCCGCCAGGCTCCAGGCGCCTGCTCCATCCACGGTTCTCCTGGGCCTTTTAGGGTAAAGGGTTTCAAACCATTCCTGGGTTGAGGCCTCCTTAAGTTCTGTACTCTTTAATTTTTAAAATAACCTGACCAGTCATCCCTGTTTGGTTTGCAAAATGATGGGGGAGAACTTGCCAGGTTTGTCTGGCAAAGTAGACACGGCAAACGTCACTTTAGTTCTCGTTCAGCCTTTGCACTTTTCCCGGGGCGGAGCTGTGGGCAGACCAACCGCCCGGCCCATGCCACCGCTTCTTCAGCATGGGGCGCACGGCTCCTGCCCATGCGGGAGCGGGCAGACTTTGTGACGTTTCAGGCTCATGATTTACCTTCCCCAAGGCTCATTTTCCATATATGAGGATTGAAACTTGGGGGAGAGCAGAAATAATCTGTGTGCATTGCCTGACATGTAATAAGGACTCACATGTTCACTGTCACTACCTGTTATCCATGGCTGGGTCCATCCACGCACCCCCTCCTGGGCCTACCCATCGATGGATCATCTGGCCACCCACTTCTTCCTCCCTTCCTTTCATTCATTTCCTACCCACTCTTCCTTGCTTCTCTTCCAACTTTCCTTCGTTCTATGTACTTATCCATTCATCCACTCATCCATCCATCCACCCTCTATCCATCCATCCATCCACCTATCCATCCACTCATCTACCTATCCATCCACTCATCCATCCATCCACTCATCTACCCATCCACACATCTACCCATCCACCCA